GGGGGCCACCATAACACGAGGAACTATATGAAAGGGTTGCAGCATTAGGAAGGTTGAGAACCACTGTACTAGATCATACTTCAAAACAACTGAATTCAATGAACTTTAAGCTCTACCACCCAGAAAAAAATAAAATTCACAGCCATCAAGTTGAATTTGATAATGATGATCCTATCGGGCAGAGTAGAACTACCTGTGTGGGCTTTCAATATAAATCATTATGAGAACAGAAAGCCCCCTCTTCCTCCTGAAGTGCAGTCGCTGGTCTTGAAATGCTGACTTCTGGTTTATAGCCCAACACATAGCCTACTATGCCATCAGAGTGCCTCTAAGCCCTATCTCACAAGTAATATTCTACAAAATGTTATGCCCTTGCAAATATTGAGAAACTTAGAAACCACACTTTATGGATTGCTTGATTGAATGTGCTTATGCTAGGGCTGGAGTGACCCTGATGGATCCTGCCCTGATGGCACTCGGCATCCAGGTTGGGGTGGGGGGGGGGCAGTGGGGAGAGGAAATTGACTAGTAGACAACAGAAGTAGCCCATGTGGCATGAAGCATGCTCCATAGGCAGGTTTTCAAATGGATTCATTCTGGTTTGACCCCTGCTGAGGATTTGTCTTTCCACCCGTGATCTAATGAATCAGAATCTACCAGTTATTGAAACCTTCAGGTGATCCTTACCTGCACATGATCTGGAGCACAGGTGGAGAACGCTGCTCTAGTAGCTCCTGGGGTCTTACAGAGACTTAAGGGCCAATTCCCGTTGGGAAAGATGAAGGACAGGTGGAGCAGGTGGGCTCCTGGGCATGCACTTTGGCTCCGACTAAAGCAACCTTGGCTCATATACTCGCTCAACCAGTTATCAAATTATTCACAGGTAGTTACTTAGCAGTGGTTTAGAAGAGGGGCTAGGGCACAGCGACTGTATATTTACATTGTAGTGGGGAAGTAGGACATTAGACAATAAATACAGCAGCAATATAAGATACCAAAACAATCAATGTGATGCAGAGAATTAAAGTATAAGTGAATGGGCATTTAGAGGCATCTCTGAGGAAGCGGCATTTCAGCCAAGACTCAGGGTTCTGTGTAAGATTTAATTCTAAAGAAAATGTGTCCCACTGCTAAAATGAAAAAGAAAGGAAATACCACTGCATGAGTCCATTCAACTCATTTTATAGATAGAAGAATGAGGACCGGAGAGGGGCTGAGCCCCAGGTGAAACAGTAAATGTATTGGCAGTGCCAGAAGGAAAGAAGAAAAGTGCTAGTTCAGTGGTGGAACCTTCACCTTCCACGTGGGAGATCTGGGTTCAGTTCCTGGCCAAGGCACTTCATGTACAACCTTTCTCCTCTGTCAATGGAAGCTTGCACCTTGCTAATATTCCAAACACCGTTCAGCCAAGCTTTCAAACAAAGATACAACCAAAACTCCAAATGTGTTGCCATTGAGTCATTGCTGACTCATAGCGACCCCCTGTGGGTTTCCTAACTGTAACTGTTTACGGGAGTAAAAAGCCCCAGTCTTACTTCCACAGAGCTTCTGGTGGTTTTGAACTGCTGGCCCTGTGGATTGCAGCCTGGCTCGCAACCACTACACAACCAACACTCCTCCAGGTTAAGATAAACCAGGAACTATCACCTGGCAATCCACTTCCAAAAATCAGCCAATGACATCTATGAATCTCAACAGTCCAGTCTGTAACTGAGGATGGCACGGGATGGGGTAGTGTTTCATTTCATTGTTTGAGAGGTTACTGTGAGGAGCGGGATGATTTGAGCAGGTGACAGCCACAGCCAGGGTGGACTAGCATGCAGCCCTCTTGGCTCCCGGTAACACCTGGTGTTGGAAGAACTTAAGCTATCCCTCGAGAGACTAGAAAGATCAAGAAGAGATAGGTGACATGACTGTGAAGGGAAGTCAGTACTGGAGGACAGTAGGTAGTGATTGGTTGACCAAAGTTTAGTGGATGATCACAGTTCACTATTGATTGTGTTTCTCTGCCTCTGTGGGTGGACAGGCGGCTGTTGAGGGAGAGTTACACAATGAAAAATCATACAACGATCTTACATTGACAAAGTCAGGAGTGGAAGGCTGCTTTAGCAGACTCCTTGAACCTAGTGAGAAAGCCCAAGAAAGTGGACCGCCTTTGCCTGCCCACAGGCCAGATAGTCGCTGACATGACTGGGGCCGGAGCTTTCACCCGCGGCACTGTCCTGCTTGTCTACCTCCTTGTTGAAGCTTTATTAAAACAACTACAACAAAACTTCTGTTCATGTGAGATGGAAAAAAGGCACAGTCCATGATCCAACAGAACTGATAAGGACACCAAGTTCTCATCTGCTGCCACAAGGCCTCAAATTCTCCAGGGGCTGTAGGGGAGTGTTAAAATCCCTCAGCATGAAAACTCAAGGAGAACCAGCCTCCATATGACACTGTGCAACCTCGGGGACTCCTTCATCTCCACACAGAGTGCCCTGAAGCACGTTCAGACTCCTGGTGACCCTTGTGTGACAGAGCAGACCTGTGTTCCGGGCCGTTTTTGATGCCTTATGAAAGCCAATGGCTAGGCTTTTCTCCCCCTGCCCTTGCTGGGGGGTTTCGAATCACTCAACTTTAGGTCTGTCCTCATCAGAGACGACATTTGCAACCCAGGGACCACTATTTCCTTCTCATTCATGAAGTGGGGAAAGGTTCCCTACATTTCTCAGTTTCCATGGTCATTTGGAAAACTTCAAAAGTGTGTACTCACTGCCCAGTATGCATTTCAGGAAGCTGTGCATGGGTGTGCAACGCTGTGGGTGTTGCCCTGGCTCTGGCAAACCCACTGTTTCCCCCAACCATTACCACAACAACCCCAAGGGCCTCTCCATTTCCTTCTTGACCTGACCCCTCTGGTCCATTCTTAGAACTTCCATCAGAAGGGTATTATGTGCAGGAAGATCTGATGATATTATCCCCTGTGAAAAACACTTGAAAAGCTTCTCATTACCCTTGGGAAATAATCCAAACTCCTTAACCCTACTTAGAGGGCATTCAGGATCTGGCCCCTGCTGACCTCTCGCTTCTTATCTCATACGACGCCTGCTGTCCAACTACAGGGGAATTCCTTCAGCTCCTCCAAGCACAGTGTTTCTCCAAGTGGAGGTGTTCCTCTGGGGTATTGGAAAGGATTGGGGTGGTACTCAAGACAATCACAGATTCGGTCTCCAACAACAGCGACCCTCAGAAGTCTGATTCACGTGTCATTTCGTCCCTTCTTTCAGACTAACGTATGAAGAAAGTTTTGTTTTGGTGTTGTGTCTTTAACACTTCTCTAGTACTCGTTGATCTTCCTTGAACAACATTATTTTATGTCACCTGCCCTTCTGCCACCCTTGACCACTGTATTGCATGTGTTTACGTTTAATTTTTCAATGAAAAAGAGGTGGCACCATTTTTCTTCTATAATGATACCGTGCATTCTTTTCTCATAACTTTTGAAAGAGAAAGGGTTCACAAAAAAATATTTAAGAAGAAAAATATAAAGATTATCGACAGGATGATATGGCAACCATCATTAATGCAACAAGCAAATGCGTAACATGTGAGCAAAAGGCAATTCAACTTTAATCTATCCGTTTCTTCTCCCAGCACTTGACAGCATAGTTCTCCTCCCTCCACTCTAGTTGGACGTTTTCAGGGAGTTCCCTAGACCAGGTAGGTACCCATGCCTCATGTTCCCAAAACCAACCACACAAAATTAAACCCACTGTCCTCAGGCCAATTCTGACCTCTGGTGAGCCATAGGGCAGAGTAGAACTGCTCCTGACAAACTCCAAGATGGTAAGTCTTTACGGCACAGACAGCGTCAATCTTGCTCCCACAGAGCAACTTGTGGGTTTGAACAATCAACTTGGCACTTGGCAGCTCAATGCTTAACCTAGAGAGAAACACCATAGTTTCTCTCATGTTTCCAAAGGGCCTGCTTTCTGCTATTATAATCCTTAATATTTCTGTTTATTGTGATTGGGTGTTTAATTACGGGCATTACTGAGTCAACACTCATCTGTATGGCCATAGAAACATTTTCGATCTTTTTCCTGGTGCCTCACCAATAACCCCCTTGTCAGAGGTGCTCCAAAATAAGAATGTGCCGGCTGAGGGTGGATCTTGTTGGAACATGCAAGAAATTGAATGCAACTACCATTTCCTAGATTGTTTTATGAAACTATAGAGCATAGAAACTGTGACTTAGATAAGTTTCAAGTCACCTAGAACATGGAGTGTTACAATTACTCATAGAGACAAAACAAATCAAGCCTTAATACATGTTTAATTCACAAAGTGTCATGTCAGTAATGAACTGTAGACAAGATCATAGCTATTTACTTAAAACAAAACAAACCTTCAATTCTTATGGAGTAGGAAAAGCCATGAATTGAGAGCAATATCGCTGCCATTGTTGCTTTCTGAAATGTTGGTTAGGATACATGCCCTCAAGAAGCCTAGTATCCCTATCTATAAAACTGGGGGTGGAAGGTAGAAAAATAACAACAACCTGATGCTCCTCATTTACCTGGCCCTTGAAGAGTCCAGGAAGCGATGTCTTTCCTTTTTCCCTGCTCATTTCCCATCTTCAGACCGGATATGGCTAATGTGACCACCATTCTTATTTTCTTGATAAAGTCCATGCTAGGTCTAAGGCAAGTAAGGGTCTAGTCAAGTAAACAATAAATAAAACGAACTGACTCCTCCACCCACACCATCGCCTCATACCTGGGCCCGAGCTCATCCTCACTCCTCCAGACAAAGTCTCCAAACTTCTCATAGTGAGAGTTGTAGTGGTGTTGGACTCGAAACAACATCGACGTTGAGACTTCCATCAGCGTGTTATAGGCAGTCTGCTGCTCCTTTCCACTCGTGTACCCATTGTACAGATTGTAGATCTTGTCGGCTATTTCTGAGAAAGAGGAAATGGAGGTACAGATTATTGAGAGGTAGGAGAAGAGCGAATGGAGACAGGCCTGCAACAGGGCAGATAGTGATACGTGGTGCTTCATGTGCCTGGTCTTTGGAAGCAGACAAACCTTCATTCCATCCTGAATATGGTATTGATTGATGGTGTTCAAGTTGTTTGTTTTTAATCTATCAACCGGATATAAATGGAATCTATTTTGGGAGGTACTTTGTGAAAATTAAGTTCAAAAATAGATACTTAGTACTCAATAGGGGACCTAGCATGGAGTTCAAGACTAGTTGTAGTGAAGTTGCTTTGACTCATGGTGACCTTTGTATGTAGGAGTAGAACTCTATTTCTCTTTTCTTTTAATTTATTTTTTAAACTCTATTTCATTTTCTTGTGAATGGCTGTTTATGAAAGAGATCACGAGGATGACTGCCAGTAAAGTAATCTTATAGACAAAATATAAAGATCAATTTTATGATATTTAGGGTTTCATGTTCAATATCTCCTACAAATAGAAAAAATATAGTAATAAACTTATGTGCATAGACATAATTTTTATTAATCATTGGGGGACTCTTACAAATCTTATCACAACCCATCATTCAGTTGTACTAAACGCATTTATATATATGTTGCCATCATAATTTCCAAAACATTTTCTTTCTACTTTAGTCCTTGGTATCATCTCCTCTTCCTCCACCCCTCCTATACCTCACCCTCGTGAATCCTTGATCAGTTATGTATTATTGTTGTTGTTTCATGTCGTACACTGTCCGTTGTCTCTCTTCACCCACATTTCTGTTATTTGACCCCCTGGAGGTGGGTTACATAATCAACCTGTGATAGGTTCCCCCTTCTCCCTCTTCCCCACCTCCAATCCCACTGCCCCTACCATCCTCCTACTCTCATGATATCGCTACTCCCACAACTGTTCCTCAGGGGTTTTTTTGCTGTCCTGAATTGCATGTGTTGAAAGCTCTTATCTGTACCAATGTGTGTACTCCGGTCTAGCTGGATTTGTAAGGTAGAACTGGGTGGTCAGGGTGGTGGTGGGAGGAAGCATTCAGGAACTAAAGGAATGCTGTGTGTTCAACCAGTGCTATACTGGTTGAATCGTGCTTTCCTTGTAACCCTTCTGTGGGGGGATATCCAATTGTCTACGGATGGGCTCTGGTTTCCACTGCAACACCCTGGACATATAGTTGATAAAGATGTCACTTATGATAACTTCATAAAGGAAAAACAGAAATACTACTGAAGTGAAGTTGGTTTCAATTTAAACTAAAAAAGTTATACATTGAAGATGCTCACTTCATGGTCCCCAGTTAAAAAGATCTTAAAAATATACATGAAACAACAAAGAGCAGAGAATCTAAATAACTCAATGTAAAAAAACCCTCAGCTAACAATAAATTATCACAATATTGGAGAAAATGGGAGTTAATAAATATATATAGAAAAGAAATAACAAAGTATCAGAAGTCCTTCATTACTAGTAATTACATTAAAAATTAATGAAATTAACTCTCCAATTAAAATCAGGGAGTAGATGAATAGATTTTTTTCCTTAAAAGACCCATATTTAAGAGATACATCTTATACTCAACGGCATAAGTAAGTTGAAAGTAAAAGAGTGGGAGAGATTATTCTAAGCAAATAGCAACCAAAAGAGAGTTGGGGGGAATATATATTGATCTTAGATCATATGAATACATGAACATCAAAGAAAACACTAGCAAATTTTAAGGGAGAAATAGATGGGTCTAGAATAATAACTGGGGACTTTAATACACCAGCTTCAATAACCAAAGCTCTAGAATGAAGATCAATAATTAGAGGAATTTAAGGAGTGAGACCTAGTGGACAAACACAGAACACCCAAACAACAACAGCACAGTACACATCCTTCTTCAGGGAACATGGATTGTTCTCAAGAACAGATAATTTTGTTAGGACACAAAAGAGATCCCAATAAATTTTAAGAGACTGAAATCATACAAAATAAAAAAAAGAAAATCATACAAAGTATCTTCTCTGACCACAATAGGAACGTAGACTTGAATAAGTGAAGAAACGCACAACTGTAGGTGGACATTGAGCAAAACATTATTAAATAGCCAGTGATTCCAGGCAGACATCAACAGATAATCAGAAACTACTTGGAGTCAAATAAAAATTGAAGTGCAATATAACAAAATTTATGGGATGTAACAAAGGCAGAACTCAGAGGGAAAGTTTATTAAAATAAGGAAAATCTTAGTAAACTAAATTTACAACTAAAGGAAGTTGAAAAATAAGAGCAAACAAATCACACAGGTGCCAAAAAAAGAAAATATCAAAGAGTAGAGCAAATCAGAAATTAATGAAATGAAGAATAAAAAAACAAGAAGAAAAAGTGATAAAGAGATTTTTTAATTAAAAAAAAATCCATAAAACTTACAAGCCATTAGCTAGGTTGATGAAAAATATAAAAGGAGATGTGCCCAATGAAAATCAGAAAGTGGGAGCATTATAACTCACTATAGAAAAATTAAGGACCATAAGAGGATACTATGAGCAAATGTGCACAAAATTAGATATGATAGAGGAAACAGACAAATTCCTCGAACCACAAAATCCCTCTACTGATTTAGGAAGAAATAGAAAATCTCAGTAGATCTATCACCAAGAAAGAAATTGAATCAGTAATCAAAATATCTCCCAGCAACACCTATAACAAGAGTGTGGGCTCAGAGGACTTCAGTGAGAAAGGCTCCCCAACACTGATAGAAGGACCCCCAGTGCTTTTCAAACCCTTGGGAGAAATCACAGCAAGGGTAGAATTTTCTGCTCATTCTATGAGGCTAGCATTACTCTGATACCCAAAGCCAACAAGGCCAGAAGAATAGGATACAACCAGGCCTTGAGGACGATGACCCCAATTAGAGCAGCCAGTCCACAGAGAGGACCACATGGCCAGCCCCACTATGAGACATGATGCCCCTCACTGACCCATGGCCCAGCGGGAGACAACACCAGAGACACAGTGTGGGAATTGCACCCGATCTGATC